AGGTTACAGGANACCTGTCTCTTATACACATCTAGATGTGTATAAGAGACAGGTGTAGAGCACCGCACAGTGTACTGTAGAGCACCGCGCATCTTGAAGTACGGCTGAAATGATGCACAGTGTGGAGCACCACGAATCTCGAAGCACGACAGGAATGATTCGCAGTGTAGAGCACCGCGAATCTCGAAGCACCACCGACAGCCACCAACTGCCGCCTGCCTCCCTCTCCAGGCTAACGGATGCGTACTGCAGACATTACTCTAGCCCCGACAGCTGCATGAGGCGGTGGGATTTATGGCGTTCCGACGGTCCGGAACGTAGGCAAGCGTGAACTCCATAATCATCGGACGGTTCCCTCGCACCTCATCATAGGAAACATTAATTTTCATCATTGACGCATTTTATCATCGGGACGTTTCATCTTTCAACAATTTAACCTAATATAACCTAACTTACCTTGTCGTGGCGCACACGCCGCCGTGGTTAACACGTGACAACCACTACATAAGAGCCATAATTGTGATCGTAAAGTTTTTGCTTCTTGAAAGGATAGAAACGAGGCCAGTGATCTGTGACCGTAAACTCCGATCTTGCACATGGGATTGTATAGATCATATACAATATGATCGTCCTGTCACCAATCTCAACTCGACTGTCATATATTAACGAAACTTATTTCTAACCTATTTCTCGCCAGAATCATTTGCTTGGTTCATGAGTATGACCATTAATTAACAGAAATTTAATTTCAAACAAATAAAGAAAATCAAAGATGGGCTAAGAAAAATTCAGCGAAGCAAGGAAAAATACCGATTCAAAGAAACAAATGATTATTATATGGTATGGCAATCATAACAATCTACCCGTTCTTATGTTTGCAGAATGCACTTCATGCACACAATGATGAAATTTTATGGTGAATTGATATAATGATCAAATGTCCCAATGATAAATTACTATAGTGATGAATTGTCTCGTATGATGAGCAGTCAGAGCTGGGCAGCGCTACTTGGAAATGTAGCGGCGCTACCGCTACCGCTACACCCACTAGATTGTAACGGGCGCTACCGCTACAGTAAAATGTAGCNCAAGATGATAAAAAGGCTATAAATTCGTTAGCTATGTGGCATTCGGGATCGAAGCGGCCCGTCCCGCCCGCCTAGAATTTGTCAAGTCTGTTTTTGAAGGCATTTAAGGAGGGAGGCAGCTACGATTATCTGGAAGACAATTCAATGTATACGCAGCCCTCTGTAAAAACAAGCTTGCTCTCACGTTTCTTCTGCTGCGTTCTCGGCAAGCTAGAAGATGCCACTTAGCTTGTTCCTGCTGCTGTGAAAGCGAATTTGACGCCAATCCACATCTTGCGCCCCGTGAAAATACTTGAAGACATCCATCATATTTCCTATCAGACTGTGGTGTTCCAAGCTTGGCAGACCCAAGACTTCCAGACGCTCTGTGTAAGGCTTGGTTTGATGTTTTTTTTTTGCTTTTCTCTGGACATCTTCAAGGTCGGTGCAGAAGGTGTTGTGTCGCGGCTGCAACACCGCGTGCCCACACTAAAAAACTGGCCGAACAAGGGAATTGAATAGCAGGACGAACGTCGCATGAGTAAGGAAGTCGGATGAGCGTATGATGTTCAACACGATCCTGTTTGCCTTTCCAGCTGCTTGAGCTACAGGACACTTGAAATTTAGGTTTTTATCAACTATAGTACTCGCAAGGTTCTCTGATTCGCTCTAGTACAGCGGCGTGACATACTCATTGCCCAGAGCGCCCCAACCTACTGGGTGCTTCTTTTTAAATTTACTTCGGCATTTTGTATTTCATATGTGTTCTAGACCTGTCTCTTATACACATCTATCTAATGGCTTTATCTATAAATGTAGCGGTAGCGCTGTAGCGGCAAAACCTCGTATCGCTACTTAAATATGTAGCGGGCGCTACAGCTACCGCTACATTGCCTTAAATGTAGAGCCGCTACCGCTACCGCTACCGCTACCGCTACTGAAAATGTAGCGGTACCTCTGCCCACCTCTGGATGAGCTATCTGACCACCCGCCCGATACCAGTTGAAGAAAACCAAGATTTTGGCGGGATGCTCCCTCTGTCGTTCATAGGAACTCGTCTTTACCAAACACTTATACAGATTTGCGAATGAAGGTGATGAGGCTTCTCATGCACAACTGATTCCATCCTTAAATGCTGTAATAGGAGGTGTAGTCTGGAGCCAATGTCATTCGGTAGATAGAACGTTTATTTACCCAGGACCGTACACAACCTCAGGCTATTCGTTTCGCTACGTTGTTATTCGAAATTTACACCAGTTCCTCCGAAGATTCGGTGAGCCCATTTAGTCTGATGTCTCTTTAGAATAGAAGTGTCGGCGTTGAAGAAATAGGCCCGTGGCCTGTTGCCGATTCTTGAACTTTTCGTGACTTGATTCACAAGGGATCCGGCCTTTGGAACCCGATCTTTCCATANTTATAAAAAAATCGCTGAAGTACACCGTACACGTAGCGATCCAAATACACGTAGTGGTCCAAGTACGCGTAGCGGTTCAAGTACACGTAGCGGTCCAAGTACACGTAGCGGTCCAAGTACGCGTAGCGGTTCAAGTACACGTAGCGATCCAGTACACATAGCGGCCAATTTTTAGAAATAACAATTTTTTTAGAAATAACATGTCGATCGATGTTCTGCGACGTTCATCTATTGACTTCTGGCCACAATTTTGGCAAAATTTGCTCTTTTTATTTTGTGATTTTGATTCTAATCACACTTTCCATTCAAATTGTAGCACTTCAAGTCGAATGATAATATAAGTATAATATTAAAATAATAACGACGGAGCAAAAATAATATCGGTGAAAATGAATTTATATTTTAACAAACATTCAAGTGAAGCAAACTTAATATAAAGTTCGAAGAAATGAAGTTTAACTTCAAAATTTTTTTATATATTTTCACAGTCATAAACCCAATTCAAATTAATATTGTAAATGCCTAATTCATAAAACACTTTGAAATGGCATGTGTGGGGATAGTTTTTAAAGATTGTTTAAAAAATTCTATGTGCCACATTCATATAAAGGTATACACATAAAATACATGTTAAAAATACAGAAAAAGCGTCAAATTGAAGAGAAAAAAAAAAGGAAAAAATTTTATTCAGGAGCAAAAATTGTTCCAAAGTTCAATAAAAATTATATTCAGTGCCATATCGTAAATAAAATCAATTCTCATTAATGAAGAAACAATGTACTCTTTCGAAACTCAAATTGGCCTGCATCGTAGCAGCGTGAGTCCAGTTCACGAATTGCAGTTAAGAATTAATGCTGTTTCTATTAAATTAAGCATTAATAACAAATTATCTTAAGGTAAAATGTTTGCACAGAAGAACGTGTAGCAACACATACAGCACAGCGCTTGTAACGCTGGACTGTCATACACGTTAAAGGCCCTTATATTGTTTACATAAAATTACTTACAACACTTTGAGGCTCAAAAAAATTCTATCATAACGAGGAAAAAAGATAATAAAAAGATCAAAATATTAAATATTCCCCTGGCCAAGAAATGTAGCCAAGATAGGAAAATAAAATTATCGTACAACTCGTAACCTGAGTCGCAAAACATCAAGTGTTTCTTAAGAAGGGAACAATCGCCGTAATTTTCTTTATACTTCAATGCATAAAACAATCGCTGTAATTTTTTTTTATACTTCAATGCATAAAACAATCGCTGTAATTTTCTTCATATATCAATGTATAAAACAATCGCTGTAATTTTCTTTAAACTTCAATACATAAAACAATCACTTTAATTTTCTTTATACTTCAATGCATAAAACAATTGCTGTTATTTTCTTAATATATCAATGTATAAAACAATCGCCGCAATTTTTTAACTTCAATACATAAAAAAATTGCCGTAATTTTCTTTAAACTTCAATACATAAAACAATTGCTGTAATTTTCTTAATATTTCAATGTATAAAACAATCGCCATAATGAGATAACCTCGGCTTCAAAATTGCGAGTCCCGAAACTGCCTTGCGATATCTAAACGTCGGCGTCCATAAAATAATTTAATAATAAATCGATTCGTAAGGAAATTACCTAAAAATTTGATGATAATTTTTTTGAATTTCTGTCTGGTTCGTTTTTTATATGGGGGAGAAGGGGGGGAGGGGGAAAAAATGACAAAAATGGGATAAAACGCGCATAAAAAAAAACTAAGGGGAAAATGAGAAAAGTGATCATCAGATTTTTAGGTATGGTCCTTACGAATCGAATGATACGTGTCTCGATGTTGTAGGATGATACTTGTAGGAGGAGATAGATTTTCTAAAGTACCCCCTTTTTAGCTGTTTTCTATGAATTTCACGTTTTCTATCAATTTTTTCGAAAAATTTATATGATCAAATTGTTTTTTATTTTACATTTTACGTATGAATACGAAATTTCAGTAAGATTGGATGATAAATGTAGAAGTTAGACGGTAGCCGGTCTGGAAGGTAGCCGGTCCCCTTAACTTCTGTGTGTGTTTTTTTATTAACTCCAAACTAATTTTCTGCATTTATCTGTGTTCTACATTTATCGAACTGACGATGGAGCTGGTCTCCGAAACGTTTTCAAAATAGATATGCTAAATTTTTGTGGTGTTTTCTTCGCTTTTAAATATCTAGTGAATCTGCGATTAAAGCAATCTAGTGACTTTTTTATTTATTCTTATAGTCCTGGATCACGATTCGTGAGGTGTTGCAAAACGGGGGATGGAAAGATTAAATTTTTAATTTTTTAATTTAATTTGTATTTTTTATTAAGATAACTTGAAAATGTGAGTAGAAGAGATATATATGATTCCTTTTTCACAAAAAAATTTCTCGACGGGAGTTCTTAAGTCAACGTATATTGGTTTTAAAATGATAATGAGATTTCACGGTGACTGGATTAAGGATAAAGGTATCACGTATCAGTGATAACGCCGGGCTATTCCTCTTAATTTTCGAGAAATATTTTACTAATGATATTATTGTGATGAAATGAAGTACGTACCTCGGTGATGGGTTGACATCCCTTCACATCAGGAGTTTCGTATCCGAGTTTTCTGGCCGACAAAAATGTTCCTCTTGGATCACGAACGAGATGAACGACTTTGAGATTTTCTGCAGGATTTTCAGTCAATCCTGCAATCCAGCGCACTGGCATGAGGATCGTCTTAATGACCCGACGCTGGGCACTCCTACAGAGCTCCTGCATCTTGACCATATCGGGCACTCCGCATCTCTTGCGGACCAAACATTTCCGGATACTTGAGTGTCGCAAAGTTCGGTACACTAAATGATGTGAAGTGAAATTAAAATAGCTGAAGTTACAGTTAAAAAACTCACTTAAAAGGTGAGAAATTTTTTCCTGAACGAATAAGTCTTTGGCCAGAAGCTGGTTAGGTTCGTAGAAGTAGAACGTGGAGGGGGGAAGAGATAAGAGTTCCCCAAGGAAGGTGGAGCCGCTGCGGGGACCTGAACTCAACACGAGGAGGTTTGTAGCCCCAGGAGGGAGGGCGGGGCTGGCGGTGGGGAGGCCGAGCTGTTTCCCGGTACTTTCTGTGGAATTAACACAGTAAGATTAACACAGTACAATAAACACAGTACAACAAACACAGTACAACAAACATAATACAAAAAAAACACAGTACAACAAGCACAGTACACCAAATACAGTACAAAAACACTGCACCATAAATACAGTGCAACAAACACAGTAAGACAAACACAGTAAGACAAACACAGTAAGACAAACACAGTAAGACAAACACAGTAAGACAAACACAGTACAACAAACACAGTACAACAAACACAGTACAACAAACACTGTACAACAAACACTGTACAACAAACACTGTACAACAAACACAATAAAAAAACACAGTAGAACAAACACAGTACAACAAACATGCATGTACAACAAACCCAGTAGATAAAAACACAGTACAACGAGCACTGTACACCAAACACTGTAGAACAAACACAGAACAAATTTTTAGTTCAAAGGCAAGGCGGTAATACATTCGTAAAGCGAGACTTGGTTTCGCTCCTTAATTGGGTAGCGGGTTATTATGAACTGGTGAAAAACGTGCAATTTATATTTAATAGGAATGGTCTCTCGACCTCGTGGTGAATCATTAGTGCAAGGTTTTGTGCAATATTTTATCAATGTTTAAAACACTCTGTCAAAAATTTAGAACAAGTTCAATGAATGGGAAATATTTGTGGTCGTGTTGACGTTTTCGTTTCGAATGGCGCCATAAGACACGTGTATGTAAGCAAAATATAGCGAACATAATTTTGTCTCTTCCTTATACATAGATATAATTTTTGACAAAAATTTTAAAATTTTAAATTTCGATCCGGCCTTCATTCTGAAAGTCGGGGGAGGGGCACAATTTAAAATATTTTAATGAAGTTCAAGATATCAATCGTCCCAATTAGTAACCATCTCCCAATCCATCTCGTCCCAATTAGTATCCACGCGTATATATTAGCAAATTCTGCCATCTAAAACTAATATTATTTATTATGTATATATATCCATATAT